GCCCACTCATTACCCCTTTAATTCATGCCAATATGAAGCTGAATAGTTGCAGGAATAATTAAAGAATAATTAAGGTTTTTTTTTTTAATGATTTGATTCAGTGGGCCCTTTTCACGTTAACTGCACGCCTTGAAAGGCATTCACCTTAGATTCCCATTATTGTGACCTTGGTTTTACTTAACAGCAGTGAGTGGGGATGTAAAAAAAAGGGAAAATATATCAGCTGGGCTGTAATTAAGGGTTGGAGGGATGTAAAGGTTAACTCGCACATGCATAAGTGCACACGCATACATAAACATGCACTTGCTCTCTCTTTCCAGCGCTCGCTCCATCTTTCTATGTGAAATTGTATTTGTGAGGGTATTCACATGCAGAAAAAGCCAAAGCCCACTCGTTCTCCCACACACACACACACAGTGGGATGAGATCAGGGACGGATTGCTGTACTGTACGTGTGTGTTGGCAGCCTCTCTGATTGCTCCATTTGCCGTGTGCGAAAGAGTGAGCATTAAAAGCCACTTCTCACGTGGTTCATCACCACTGCGAACCATTAAACCCACTGGCTTTTACTGGAGATGTAAAACGGCCCATGAACGGTAACTATTTCAATTTCAATATCCTCGTTAAACATTGAATAAAAAAGGAGAGAAATAAAGCGGGAGGAAGAGTAGGGGGGCAAGAGTGCAACGTTTCTTTCTCAAACAGCTGAATTTTGATTTCTGCGAGCGAGCGACTCTTGATAAATTTGTCAGATCTGCTCTGTGCAATTTACACTCGCCTAAAGCAACCTCCTCCTCGCTACTAAATCAATTCCGTTCTGTCAGGATCATTTATGCCATGGAAAACTGTGAAAAATAATCACACGTTCTCCATGGCAGAGGTATCTGACCTGATTTTGTACTGTGTGTGAAAAGGTTGAGTTTTTGGGAGGATGTTAAATGTGACTCTGGACCACAAAACCAGTCATAAGTGTCAGTTTATGGAAACTGAGGTGTATAGATTATATTAAAGGTGAATAAATATACTTTTTTTATTGACGTTGTTAGGATTGCACAATATTTGGCAGAAATTCTACTAATTGAATATTTAAAAAAAAAAAAAAACTTAAAAAGAAATAATAAATCGTTATTCAAATCAATTTCTTAGTAATGCACATCTCTAATCAACAATTTAATTTTTATATATTAGGATATTAGCATAGTAGACTATCCTAATAGTTTAGGATAGTAGAATATTTACTATGGCCCCGTATACACTGCCAGTTAAATGTGATCCAAATCCGATTTTTTGCTCATAAGTGACACAGATCTGATCTGTTCTATGATCACGTAAACACAACAAAACACATGCATTCAAATATTCAGAGATTGGTTTCAGCCCTCCTTCAGATGTGGATTATGATAAATCAGACATGTGACAATGCGACTATCGTAAGCAGGCAGATCAGATTTATTGAAGTGTATCGTTTTGTACGTCATTAAACTTGTGACAATGTGGTACTTTTCCACGGTTAATGATGTAGAACAGGGATCACCAAACTTGTTCCTGGAGGACCAGTGTTCTGCAGATTTTAGCTCTAACCCAATCCATCACTCCCAAAAAAGCTAATCAAGGTCTTACTAGGTATACTTGAAATACCCAGGCAGGTGTGTTGAGGCAAGTTGGAGCTAAACCCTGCAGGACACCGGATCTCCAGGAACAAGATTGGTGAGCCCTGATGTAGAAGGAAGAGCGTGTGTGGAGATGCCGACGGGGTAAACGACAACAACAACAACAGAGGAAACATGGAAGAGGAAAGTGGTCAGTATCCACAATTAGCTTCCACCAGACCTGAGATTTCTATAGCGCCTACAAATTTCTCTGAATAATGGAGGACACCATATATAAACCATAGGCGCAAGCCGTGATGACAGCCCTTTCCCACCTCCTGCACCTAAAAATCATTTTAAAGTTGGGCGAACTTCACATATTTCTCAGAGTTAAAAGCAAACTTCTTCCATCATGGTTAGTGTGACGCAGATGCTAGAATCCACCTTTACGCATGCACGGCATCCTAAATTGTGTGGCAAGTGTAAACACATGAATCGCATATGAGTCACAATTAAAAGAACGTGTAAACGAACAGGCAAAAAAAATCACATAAAGGCAACAAATCCGAATAGAGCATCAAGACCTGACAGTGTAAACAGGGCCTAAGAGTCTTTATAGAATATGATTTTCTTAAAGAGATAGTTTACCCAAAAATAAAAACTCTTTCATTAATCACGCACCCATTTCTTGTTTCAAACATTATTGGATTTCTTTCTTCTGTTGAACACAAAAGATATTTCGAAAAATGTCGGAATCCTGTAACCATTGACTTTCCATATGTGATTTTCTACTATGGAAGTTAATGGTCCTTCCCAACGGAGCCAATTGGTGAAGTTTGTTTCTCATCACCGTCTCCACTCGCTTGCTTGGTTTGGGACTTGTGGAGCTGCGCATCGTCAGTGTTTGCACTTCCAGCAGTGAAATTTAAACTGAACTGAACTAAACTGAGCTTCACCTCTGAAAACTGGACTGACACAGTTTCAGTTTACTAGAACTCCTTTGTTAAGCTAATTTGACACAATCTACATTGTAAAAGCGCATAAATAAACATGAATTGAATTGAATGAATGGTTACAGTTTTTCAGCTTTCTTTAAAATGTTTTCCTTTGTGTTTAACAGAAAAAAAAACTCATAAAGGTTTGGAACCACTTGAGGCTGATAAAAAAGTGAAACTATCCCTTTAATACATTAATAAGCATTTTTTGTATAAAATAATCAATCATTTGAACCCATACAAGGTTATTTGGCCATTCCCACAAATATACACATGCAACATTAGACTAGTTTTGCAGTTCAGCGTCACAAATATTTGAGAGACGTGAGTGAAATAGAGCTGTTTGTTTTTTCATGTCTGTTCAGAGACCGCACCTCTGGCCTCCGGGCGATATCACAGTAAGATAACGGAGGCCATGCAACTAATAAACAAAGAAAAAAGAAAGAAAAAAAGAAAGAAAGAAAGGAAGAGGTATGGAGGCACTTGGCTCAGCAGCTGGGTGAGAAACGCTGTCCTAGCTCTAACATAAGCGCTCTCTGACCGCCGGCGAGTCGACGTGTAGCGACACCAGCCAAAGGAGGCGTCGTCGACACTAGTATGCTAGTAAATGCCGCTTATAAATGCCAGAGCCAAGTAACATCAAAGCTGGGGAAGATATCATTCTGGGCATGCCTGTAAGGATGCAATCAAAGTTACATACAACGCGATTACATTACACACTCTGACATCTACACTCAGGGCCTATTAACAGGGATCACACATTACTATGCCATGCAAAGGCAACAGCTGGAGAAATGAAGGACAGCAGTCAGAGATTTCCGTCGGTTTGGCAGGGTTTTTCTATAAAACATGTATGGCTTGAATGGTTAGAGGTCTAGACAGGAGGCGAGAAGTTTTCTTAAGGAAGTACGGAACAAAGCCTTTGTGTTTTTAAATGTCTGAATGGACGTATCGCTTGCTCTGAATATATTTGAGAAGGTTTAGAATGTTTGTTTGTTCAGCATGTACCCCTTGGCGCCAACTTTATATATTTCCTTTAATGTTAAGCTTTATACAGAAGCCACTGATTAGGTTAAAAATAATTGCCTATAATGAAACAATTAACAAATAAAACAAATATAATATTGAGGATAAGTTTTCTATATTAGAATGACTACAATGCTTCACAATATAACTGTTTACTGCATTTAGATAAAAAAAAATACAGACTCGGTAAGCCTAAGAGACTTTTCAAATCATAATAATAATAATAATAATAATAATGATCATTATTATTATTATTATTATTATTATTATATAAATCCTGTAAATTATTTTAAATAATAATAATAACAAATGAATTTAATAATAAAATAAAATAAAGTAATATTGATAATTTTTGATAAATTAATATTGATAAATTATAATAGTTATTATTATTATTATTATTATTAATGTCATCATTCATTATTAACATTATTATAAATAGATAAATACTGTAAATATATTTTTAAATAACAATAAAAATGTAATTTAATAATAAAATAAAATAATAATGATAATAATGATGATAATAAAGATAATAATAACAATAATAATTACAATAATAATGATAACAATAATAATATTAATAATCAGAATGATTAATATTGTCATTATTATTATCATTATTTTCATTATTATAATATTATATAAACAAATACTGTAAATATATATTTTAAATATTAATAATAACAATTTAATTTAATTGAAAAAATATATAATATTAATAATAATAATAATTATTATTATTATTATAATTATTATTATTATTCATATTATTATTCATATTATTGCCATCATTATTATCTTTATTATAATAACATCAATACAGTAAAAATATTTTATACATAATAATAATAATAACAATTTATTTTATTACAATAAAATACAATTATAAAATCTCTTGCCAACTTTTGAACCAAAGAGTGTCTTACAATTGCAGCTAACTTCTCATAATGCAAATTGTTTTTAAATATTAATCAATATCTCACATTTACTTGTGGAAACAGTCCCCTCTAGTTTGATAATAAATAAAACTTGCATTTATCAATGAATTTTAGCTCAATTTAATTAATTCGTTATTCAATAATAAAGCACATCACACATGCACCTTTGTTGCAAAATGATAGAACATGGTGTAAAACATATTACAACTATACAGCTTTCAGAAGACATGGTCAAGTGAATGGCATTCAGTAATATTTTGATTAGCCAATAAAACGTGCACCGATTATCATTGAAAAATCAAACTTTTGTGCGTTTAGTTTGGGTATGTCATGTCTAAGCAGCTCAGAACTATTTAAATATCGTTTTAAGTTCTGTGTGTGGTGACTTGTCGAGGCATTTGTGTGTATATATATATACATATGTGTATATGTGTGTGTGTGTGTGTTACCTGTTGCAGCATAAGGGCTTGTTGCTGTTGGAGTAAAGCTTGAAGTTGAGGCGGAGAGAGGATCTGCTGCATCTGCTGAGGGGTGATCATCTGTGGGGTCATCATCGCCATTGATACAGGCACCTAAAAAGCAAAAAGACCAATACATGATAAGGAATTGACATGCAAGCTGTTAAGCAATCCAAAATAATGCTTGACACAAATGTTTAATATTTCCAATAAACCAAGCAGGTATAAAATGCAGAAGCCAAATAGCAAATCGCTGTATAAAATGACACCTCTGCACTGAGATAAGCGCGTTTCCCTCACTTTAACATGATACAAAGCCATTTCTGTTTCTTTAGCATCATAAAGGAATGTTGTACTTCACTTTAATTAACTCTTTATCCTGTCATGGCAAAGAGAGTACACAAAACATCAGCTCTGTTGACACAATAGAGCTCCACACTGCTTGCATTGTAAAACCCTGGCAGTTTTTCCGAAAGAGAGAGAGAAAAAGAGAGAGAGAGAAGCGTGTTGATCAAATCTTCCCTTGAGTATGTAGTCTTTATCAGCCTGAAAGTACTTCAATAAACATAATATTATGACTTGTTATCTAGAGAATCACATCTTTGGCAAAAATAACAAACAGTCTGATAAGATAGCTATCGGCAGGAAACAACTTGCAACAGTCTGGAATTGAGAGCACAATTTGCTAGACAAGAACGAGGCGTAAAGATGGAAGGCGTGATTCTTATCTTATGACAAATTTGCAGAAAAGGAGAGAAAAGGAAAGAGAGTTGGGATCAACAATAAGGATTTCTCTTTGCAGGTCTAGTTGGGTTGTTACTTCAGATTTTTATTAGTCCTGCCATTTTCAATTGGCCCACTAAGGAAAATCGTACGTTTTTTTTTATTTCACTATTCACATAAACATTTATGTACTTTTATTTATTTTTTTGACTTTTTATAAGTTTTCTATCAAAAACAATAACCAAAATAGCTTTGCTTTTCTTTATTTCTGGTTTTGAAACATTTCTACATTTACAACTAAACATATGTGATTGATTTTTTTTAAAAAACAAAGATCATTTTGTTACTGGTGCGCCATTTAATCCTCATCACTGTCAACAGTATTCTTTATTGAATTGTCCTTCAATCACATCAACAAATTCATTGGTTTCTGTTCATTTACAAAAATCTTATTGGGAAAACTCCACTATATTTACAGTCACTTCTAAACATGATGAAATCTGCACTCTATTAGTTTTATTAACTTTTGTATACCCAAAGTTCACATTCATTTGGTCACTACTCTTTTCAGTTGTCTGCTGCTGATGCTTGGAATCATCTGCAGCAGATTTTAAAGCTCAACACTTTTATTCCACTATCATCCTTTAAAAATCAAATCCAGTTAATAGTACAAGATCACAGTGCTTGTTTTTTTAGTTGTTCCTAGGTTTATAAGTAATTATCTGCATCTGTGAAATTGTTATTGTATTGTGTCCCTGCTGCTTTGTATCTGCTAATTTTGTTGGCAATTGGACAGGTTGTCATTGAAAATGAGAACTGGTTTTCAATTGACTTACCTGGTTAAATAAAGGTTATTACTTAAAATAATAATAATAATAATAATAATAATAAAAAATAATAAACACACAAACACACACACACACACACACACATACACACACACACACACACACACACACACACACACACACACACACACACACACACACACACACACACACACACACACACACACACACACACACACACACACACACACAAACAAACAATCAGCAAAACAAAGTAATTCAAAAACAAAACTTAACCGGACAATAAATACAAAACAAAAACAAATAAGCAAAACAATCAATCGAAAAAAAAAAAATCAATAATAGTTCCAAAAAAAAACTAAAAGTTAACAATTAAAAGACTTTCCATTTGAAAATAATTGCACTTGTTGCACAACATTACTGATCTAACACTTCTAAAACAATTCACCCTGGTAACTCTTTATTTTGATGGTCCATTTGAGTATTAGAAGACTTTCTATTTAAAATCTGTTGATACTTCTCCTTCAACAGACATTTGCCTAACTATAAGAAACTTTGCAAGTACGTGAACTTACACTATCCCTAACCTTAACTCCAACCCCAACCTAACAGTCTACTTATAATCTAATGAGAATTAGCTGGCATGTAGATGCAATGTAACTTAAATTCAACAAACGGACCATCAAAATAAAGTGTGACCTTCACACTTCCTGTTCCTGTTAACGTGATTTAAAACTGTAATAATCCCAACAATAAGGAATCCAAACATTTATAATTGAAAGGCAAATGTATAGAGTATAGTGACTGTATAGCCTACGGACAAACTCTCAAACTGGTCATCGTCATCCTTACTCTGTGTGTGTGTGTGTGTGTGTGTGTGTGTGTGTGTGTGTGTGTAAGAGAGAGAGAGAATGAGAGCTGGTTTGGAAAGGCCTGAAAGCAGGCCGCCTGTACATGATTACATCCTTTAATGCAGTAGAACTGGCCACTCTGTGAACTTATGGGCAGCTTTTTAACGGGCCAGCAATTTCCACCAGTACAATTTGTGGCTGCTTCCTCGAATGCAGCTAGCGATCTTGCACAGAAACACACACGCAGCCGCTCTGTGGCGTTCCATTTATTTTCCTATTTACTGCTCAAGGGCCAGAACTGATCATCTCCCTGCAACTGCTCAATAAAAATAAAGCTATTTACAGGCAACGGCTGGCTTGAAGCTGACACGCGAGCGCAAACTACAATCCCGCATAATACGTACATTTATCTACATTTGCCACTCAAAGGGAATAAAAAAGACAGGCAACGGCGTGACGACTTCCCAGTCCACTGCCAGTCCGATCTGATATTTGCATTCATTTGTTTTCATGTAGCGCCTGAGCGCTCATATTTTCAGCAGTTTATCTATTCACAGCTCGAGGGCTCCGGAGGAAGGGGGGTGAGATAAGGAGAGGAAAGACGAAGAGAGAGAGCTGTCAGACGCAAATTAAATCTGTAAAGGCCTGATTTGACTTTGTAAACAAGATTGGCGGTAAATATGAACACCGGCTCTCATTCCCGCCGGAAAGGGGGATGAAAGCTCACGCTCGCATTGGTTATCGGCGACTGTCCGATACTTTATTGTAAACGTCCCTATCAGAATCAAACGAGCCATCCGTATCCTTCACTACAAGGAGGGGCGCTTCCCAGAATCCGTGACAGAGACAAAGTGGTAAAATTATGCACTCTTTGACTTATGCACCACAAGACAGACGCATTTTATGGGCTGCCGTGCCACTCACCTTGATTAATTACAGGCGCAACGCAGGTGAGACTAGCGCTCACAGCTAAAGCTAGCAAGCATGGACACATTTGAGCTGATGATATCATGCATCCCATCGTTTGGTCGGGGGCCAGAAACCAGGCGCTCACCTTTTGATGACTTATATCAAGGGTTAAACATCAAGGGCTGTACAATTACAGCTTTGAAAATGAGTATGTGCACCCAGAGAGGAAGAAGCATCTGAAACAAAGCCAAGGCACCAAGGCATCCGAGACCACGCTGAAGGCCGGTGTGTTGTTTCTCCGCAGATTGGGGGGAGACAGAACGTGAGATAGGGCACAAGAGGGGGCTCGGTGTGGCGGGCGCTTGGCGTCATGCCAATTTGCCACGCGCGGCTGCTTGTCACTGAGAAAGAGCGAAATGAAAACCTGTAATTAATTGCTCTTCTGCATCCCATTCTCCTGCGGTGACAACCCATACATTCTATTTTATACACACGTTCATTGACATTTTCAAGTTGCAGGCGTAATAATTACCAGAGTTATAACACCTTCTATTGCGGCGCGACAGTGGGATTGACGAGCCGCCTGAATGCTGAGTTGTTAAGGTTTGACGCCATTAATTGCCCCTATAATCTAATATCACAAAGGCGGGCCATTACACACCGCGAGCGGAGCGTGCAATTCGACACTACGGTTTCAGAGCAGTGCAGGAAAACAAAAGCGCGCCATTAGGGACTTGACGGCCGCTAACAAAAGCGCAGCACAATGCGGAATTATATTTTCATTCGGCTTTGTCTCTCGCCATAAATGATTCCCCCCGTTCATTTGCCACTGAATAGAGCCAGTAATAGAAGAGCCCGAAACCCCAACCATTTGAAGTCAGGCATTTATTAAATGCATTTAATTTTTTTTCTCTCAATTTTTTTTCTATCTTTAAATTAACATGCAACAGGAAAGAAAGGCGAGGGAGATATTTTGCAGAAGCAAAGCGATGAGCACCTTGCTGTGAATTATCAAGCCCGGACACTTACAATTACATTTACTGTACTTTAAAAACAGAGACAAAAAAGCATTCTGTCCACATGTGAGAAGAGAGAATAACAAGTGAGATGCTGCGATGCGTTGGTATTAAAGGGATCATGACAGGAAGAAAGCTTGGTTTATATAAAAGCCATATTGGGCAGTCAAAAATACAAGTTTTCGAATATAAAATTAACGAAAGATGTAACAATCAATTACCTCTTTTTTTAAATTAATAGCTATATTTTCTCACTCTTACTCTCAGTAGGTGAAACTTTGGCTTGGTCTCTACTGGTTAATGCTGTAACTACAGTTATGAAGGAGCCAGGCATGTTTCTTCATTGACATTTTCACAAGTAAATAAAAATAATAGCATAACAGTTGCAATATATACATTTTAATAATTCACAATTATTTAATTAGTGTATTAAAATAATTGTCCTTGTCTGTAATTAGTTCAATGGCTTGTAAATGATTATGTCCATAATAATAGTAATAATAATAATAACAAATTATGTCCATAAATAAATAAAATATGAATTAATATTTGTCTGTAATTAGTTATAGATATAAGAATAATTATATATTCAAACAAACAAACCAATATATAAAGGTTCCGTGAGCAAAGTTGATATGCAGACCCATTAGATCAGGAATGCCTAAACTTTTTCATATGAAAGGTCAAAACCAAATATTATTGAGAGCCGTGGGTCAAAGACAAATATACCAAACTATTTTACAACAGACATCCTAAGTCTCCCAGACATTTATGCCTATGTGGGAATCTCCTGGATGGTCGCAAAC